AATGTGACCCTTACCAGGTGATGAGCTCAGAACAGAAATGGGAATAGTTGTCAGTAAGGAAAGGGGAATCTTTACCACTGATAATGGTGACCTCGATAATGCAAGTGCAGTGAGATTTTTCAGTGTCAAAAAGGCTGTTAGCATGAAAGTCGGCAGATGACAAGAAAACATCAGTATTGGAATAGTTGGTACTAATGACACAGATACTGAGAGACTTAGTGTTTAAGTTCAATGCTCAGGCTGTAGGGGAGGCTTTAACAGACTCTGCTGGCCAAAAAAAATCCAAACAAGCATATGAAGAGTGAAATACATGTGGACAAGCACTTAAAGAAACCATAGTTTCTGTGTGAAAGCAAGTGTTACATGAAAAGGCTATTGCAAATAGCTCTGAAGAATCAATAACAAGATGCAATTTTTTGCTTTTAAGATTATCAAAGTCTGACAATTTAAAACTTTCTATCTATATATTATACATTGAGATAATTTACTGTTAAAATAATTGTTAAAACAATACAATAACAAAATTAGTGATTTTGTTCTGCAGATACATTAAAATCAGTATCAGTTGTTGAAGAAAATTACAATGGTACAAAAACTGTTTTATAATGAATGACTACAACAGCATTTTCATGAATGTTTTAGAATGCAGCAGCTAGCTGCCTCTCTTCAGATGTTGCATTTATTAACATCTGCTATCCCAGTCATTTTTCTGAGAAATTATAATAAACTGCTTTTTGTTCATTTCCTTGTTAGTGTATTGATATTATTTATAAGAACTAGAGAAAAAAGCTTGTTCGTGCCTTTCTTCTCTTTTTATGCTATTTTTAGATTTATAAAAAACACCTGAAAAGTTTTCCCTTTCTTCAAAAAGTTTTATATATACTTATTTAGAAAATATTTTTAAAAATATGGGTATCAGATCATGCTGATCCTTATTTTTTGTTCTCATAAGTGAATCACAAAATAAGATGAAAGCTTTATTTTCCCTCAACTGAACGAGTGAAGACATGAAATGTTGAGCAAAAATCTGTGCTCCCAGTTTTCTGATTTAAATAGGTGATGGAAGTCAAACAGTCTTTCTAGAACCTTGTGCAGCCATTAGTTGAAAACTGGTTTAAATTGGTTTAGTTTGCATTTGCAAGTCCTTTTCTATATACAGAATTGCACTAACTAAACTAAACTAACACAACATGAGACATCTTGTTAAATGTCTGTGTGTCAACAAACCTTTACACAAAACTAAACTGCTCTCAGACAGTGGTTTGCACTGGTTTAACAAATCATTTTTAATCTGATTTTAGTTAGGCATGTCTACAAAGTTATACTTACTTCACTAAATGTGTGATATTTATACTAATTTAACATAAACCAGCAATTTGTGTAGACAAGGACTCAGCTGCTTAAGTGTAAACTTTCTTTGAAAATGCCTTAACTCTACTGAATTATTCTGCCAATCAGAAAAAAACAAAGCAGAGATCTTTACTTCTAATGTAATAAACATGCTGAATTTTTTAGAAATAAAACAAGTCCCACTCCCGAAAGCCATCTTTATGCATCAAAGAAAACATTTTAAAAAACACACTGGCCTTGCTTTATTCTTATTTCCAAGTTAATTTCAGCAACTTCTTCTGAACAGTCAACAGAAGTGCATCAAAGGGTGCTATGCATATCTTGTTATTATTGTGATCAAATAATACATTTTAAATTAACTCAAAAATATTCCCAAAAATTTTAAGGCTCGAAAGTCAGTAAAGTCAGAGTTAAACATACAATTCTATTCTTAAAAATGTGAAGATTTGAGATTTTATTTTAAACTAAAGATTAGTAGTAGCATTTAAATCCAGTCCTCCTTCACCCACCTGTTATGTCTCAAATAAAACAAAGATTTATATGTGTTTAACTTTACTGATTGCAAGCAGTAACATTGTAGCTATATCTAACATTGCAGATCTTATGCTGCACTGCTATAAAGTCTTCTGTGGAACTGCTGTATGCTGATGGGAGAGAGCTCTTCCATTGGTATAATTAAACCACCCCCCAGCAGTGGAGGTAGCTATCTTGGCAAGAGAGCATCTTCCACCAACACATAGCACTGTCCACACACTGCAGTGTCTGTCTCTGAAACTTATGTCAATCAGAAGGGTGGAGTTTTTTACTCCTTTGTTTGGGGGAAAAAAAGCAAATAATTGGATTGCTCCTGTTCTGCCCTGCACTAGGGATGTGAACGAGTAGTCGACTACCCAATAAGCGGGAGCTTATTGGGTAGCACTATCGACTACTTGATCACCTCTCCCCCTCCACTTTGCACTCCTGAAGAGACAGGGAGGAGCCAGCACACAAAGACGATGACTCAATCTCTGGTCCCCCACCGGTTCTCAGGACAACTCCCCCCCATTCTGCATTTTGAAAGGGACAGAGCAGCAGCAGCAGGTCCCTTAAAGCAGCTGCCACTGCTCTGTCCCTTTAAAAATGCAGAGTGGCAACGGGGGTGGGGAGCTTGTGCTGAGAGAGACCCACAGGATGGCTGCTGCTGATCTGTCTCTTTCAGAATGCAGTGTGGTAGCAGGGCAGTTGTCCTGAGACCGGGCAGGAGACCAGCGACTGAGCCAGCATCTTTACACGCCTACTCCTCTCTGTCCCTTTGAGTGCGCAGAGCGGGTAGGGCTGTGCTGAGACCTGCAAGTGAGTACTGTAACGGCCTTTCCTTAACAACTAGTCGAGTAGTTGATGGAAATTCCATCGACTACTCAAGTAAGCAAATTCACTTAACATCCCTACCCTGTACTAGGAATGCAGTGGCCGACATATTGCTGTTGCAGAGAAGGAGGGGAAGAGACTGCTGAACTGTTTTGACATACTTCAAGCACCTAGTGTTCCGAGAGCTATTGCCATTACCAGCAGCTGAGGAGGTGGTGGAAGAACTCAGAGGGATTCCCAAAATGTACAGCAATCAGCTTTGCCTTCTCACAGTACTACACTGTGGGATACATACCTATATTATATAATTCATATATTGTACACACTCTCACTCTCTCTCTCTCCTTTTTTTTGTGACAGTACGCCCCGGAATGGCGTATTGGCACCTATTTTCCCATCATATTTTAATTTAATGGGATTCCCCTCTGGTGTATCGGCACCTATTTCCTGGGGTGGCTTGGCTCCTGATGGAAGCCCGCTCGGGGGACACAGTGCAACTCTTAAAGGGGACGCAACTGCATTTCATCCCTCCCCGCTCTCTTCTCAACAAGTTTTCCCTTTTTTTTTTTGGCTCAACAACTTTGAGCTTGGAGTACCGGTACCTTTTTTCTTACAAAAAAAGCAGCTTGTATATATATTAGAATGCATCTGTTTTTCTGTGTGTCTGTCCGTGAGTCTGTTTGTTCAAGAACTCCTCCTAAACCAGAAGAGATAGGGCCACTGTAGTGAGGCAGTATCGCCTCCTGATGACCCACAAGGAGAACTTCTCTTAAAGACCCCTTGGTGGGCAGTGCCAGAGTATCCAGGCTCTGCCCACAGGAAGCAGAAGGACGGGACTGCAAGCATAAGAGAGGGAGCTCCCAGCTCAGTTGAAGGAGGCTGGGAGGCAGCTCCAGAGGTAAAGGAGAACCATGCCCCGCCAACCCCCAGGATGACTGGGTTGGGCCACAAGGACCACTGCCATACCCTGAGGACTTCCCCAGGCTTCTGCGACCACTGATGGAGCCCAGTGACCACAGGAGGCTGCAGAGACCCCTGCTAAGGCCTGAGGCCTACCTTAGACTCCCAGGACCTAGACTGGGCCCCGTGGGCCTCTGCTTGAACCCCCCCAGGAGGAATATACGGACACCATGCCAGCTCCTTCGACCCCCACAGAGCCTGTTGGCCAGAGCTGGAGCAAGGTAGGACCGCATGGGGTCTGGAAAGTAGCCCAGGGGGAGCCGACCTAGGACTGGCCGAGGACATGGAGGTCAGCTGGGCTGCAGATTGTGGTCTGGACCCCCGCTAGCCCACTGATCGGACCAGCGTGTTGAGGCAAAGAGCCTCACTGACCCCGGAGGCAGCTAGCGCTGCCACTGATAGCGCCCTGGGCTGGGACACAGTGGAGCGGTTAAGCCTATGTCCTCCCCCGCCACACTTTTCTCTCGGGTGGCAGGTTCCCCCTGAAGGGAGATACCACCTGCACCTACTGGCTCTCTGCCAGCAAGGACACCCGACCCCTAGCTCAGCCTGCAGACAGGCCTGAGCCCTTGGACCCTTTGGGATGACTTATTGTTTGTTTGCTTGCCCCGCCCTGACCCAACGGCCTGGATCATAAACTGCTTGCCTGCAGCCCCGCCCTGAACTAGGGCCCGGGCTTATAAACTGTGACTTTGTTTGTTCACCCCTCCCTAACCCTGCGATGGGGCCCTGAGACTGGTTGTGAGGAGGCAGCGAGGCCACCCACAGCCTGAGACTACTACAGCCACCAAATTTGGGAGGGGCTGGGGCAGAGGAAGAGAGCCTCACCCGCACCCCAGAAGGGGCTAGGGAGAAGCCCCCTGTCCTGGGAGGTGCCGGGGGAGCGAGAGAGCCTCATTCCCTTCCCTGAGCCCCTCCTCATTCCCCCATGCCCCAGGCCTCCTGCCCTGAGCTCCCCCACATCTCTAAGGCCGTGCCCTGACTAGGAATGTTAAAATTTGTTTAATTATGTAACTGTATAACCGCTGATACAGAGGCAGCACTGAGGAGGGGGTAGGGGGGAGAGCTGCATGTAACTGTCAAGGTTAATAGATGAGTCTACGCTTACTGATTAACTGTGTAAATGGCTACACTTTCACATCCTAAAACCTGAGTCCTGCATCCTCCACACCATCAGTCCCCTGCCCTTAAGTCTTGTAGTAAACAATATTTCAGACAATTCAGAAGCTACCAGATGTTACTGGCAGTAAATATGGGACCCTGAACTAAATACTGAAAAATAAATGAAGAAGAAAATGTTGAGACATATATAAGTACAAAGTTGTAGTTCACCTGTAACTTACCTATGGTTCCTAGATTACACTTCACACTTCGTATGCATAATCACTCTGTAAAGACTCCTGTGATGAATTAAACAAAAGAAACACCATTTCAGTTTTGTAGGTGTTATTGTACAGGTTTACATATTTATCATAATAATTTTGCATTTTTAAACTATAATCCATTAGACTGGCAAAAATGCTGATTTTTTTTAATGAAAAAAATACTGAGTTATTCAACGTGAAAGCATTATGCATTTGTATTAAAAACTTCTCTCTCAAAAAGGGAAATGCTGTTCCCAAAACATCGAATGTTACATTTCACAGGAGAGAGGAAAGGCTACTCTGAAGCATTCTACTTTCGTCACATGTACTGCTGGAATAGTTCTGGGGTGGGCAATAATTTTTGATGGGAGGGCCACACCAAGATTTTGGAAAGTGAATGAGGGCCGGACTCTTCCATGATATAAATGGAGGAGATACAGGGTCTGGGATAGAAGCTGGATGCAGAAGGGAGCTTGGGGTAAGGGACTGGGGTACAGGAGGGAGACTGGAGTCTGGGAGGGAGCTGGGATGAAGTAGGCGGTTGTGACCTAGGGCAGGGGACCGGAGTGCAGCGGTTCGGGATGTGACCTAGGTTAGGAAGGGATTGTGATCTGGGGCAGGAGATTGGGGTGCCAGATCTGGGAGGGGGTATGGCTGTAAGAGGGGGACAGAGGGTTTGGGTATGTTGAGGGGGGAGGAGGGGCAGCAGAGAGTTGGGGCAGGAAAGGGCTGGGGTGCCAGAAACAAGCTGTGGTCAAGAGACTTACTTGCCAGCTGCCAAACTAGCCTGCCTACCTGCAGAGCTTAAAATGTTTCCCAGCCTGGTCATGTGCTTCATGAATAATTAAGCCCAGGAGAGGGGGCATGATTCTCCTTAGCTGCCTGTTATTCTAACAAGCAGGTCCCACTGGCTGATTTCTGCCAGAAACTGGCCAATGGAAATGTGCTGGGGGCGGGGCAGCTCCTAAAACTTCTTCTCTTCTCTCCAGTTTAAAAACAGAAATGGAGCCCTGCAGCCATGTTTCTGCATGGCCGCCTGAGGCTCCCCACTGCCTCTGCAGGCCAGATCTGGTGGCTTAGTGGGCCGCATTTTGCCCAGGCCTGGACTAATTGCTCTACTGATGCAAAAAATAACATACTAGTCTGGGCATTAGGAGAATATTGGATCAATACAACTTAACAGAAGATTGCTCTCTTCCAGCTTGGAAGCCCACCAGCTATTGAACTCATGCAAAGTTTTCCCATGAACACATGAATTATAATGCCAAAGAAAGCAGTAACCAGCCAGCACAGCTCTGTGATGCTACATGCACTAAGGCTTCTGAGAACAAATGCTTTTCAACAGCAAAGCTTTGCTGCCCTACCAAGTGTATGATGATCCATTTTTTCATTCCTTATTTAAATAAGGCAATTTTATATAATCTCATACATTTTTTCTCTTTATATAAACCGTGATATTCTGTTTTGTTGCTAATCTAATGACTCATGCAAATACAGTAGACACCCACATCTTTCTAATCAAGCCAAGGAAACTCACATGAATGTATTTTTCTACCTTTCTCCTGAAGAGTTTTCACTACACTATGACCTTTTGCTCAGAGTTCTAGATAATTCCATTTTTTTGTCCCTTATGCACCTTCCATCTCACTCAAAGAATGTATTTTTTTGCTACTGCACCTGTAAGCAGATGAGTCAGAAAACAGTATTTTAAATTCTCACAAAATGAAAGTAAGCACTAGTTACTTTAATTTCCTGATACAAAAGTGTTTTTAATAATTACTTTAGTGGGTTTTGAAGGGAAATATCCACAAAATATGAATGTTTATACATTTAAAAGTTGGGCTTAAATATTTGAATGTACTCCTTAAATTTACTTCAGCTTAACTCTGAACTTCCTTGGTTTCAGTAATATTCTTAATCCTATTAATATATTCCAGCCATGCACATAACATGTTGCGTGTTTTCTAAGGCATAATTCCTACCCTGAGGAGCATACTTTATACATCTTTTGTTTTCTATATTAATAAAAAAATATTAGAGTGATCACTGATTGTTTCTTGTTCCAGAACCATTTATTATTGCCCTTCCAATCGCATCTCAAAACTCATTTGCAGAGATGCCTACAAAAATATTCACAAATTAGGCCATTTGGTGCACCTATTCCTGGGGGAATTCAGCACCATTGCACAGGTGGAGAATTCACATCCAACACAGAATACTGAATTCCACCTTCTAACCTCCAGAAGACATTATAGTGCCAGAACAGCTGGTTGACTGGCAGTAACAGCTAGCAGCCGGCTGCATTACTCAAAGTGGCTTTGCCATAGAGCTAGGTTAGACGGCAGAATGGAGTACATGTGCCTGCTGGATAGTCACAGACTGGGGTTCAGAAGACCTGAGGAGACTGGGGTGTGGGCTCACGAATTAGTGAAGTGACAGCACTGAGCTGGGGTGGGGCTCCTGCATCAAATGGGGATAGGGAGCGTAGGGACACACAAGAACAAACATGTGTGACTGATCAGGAATCAGCTAGGGTCTGCCTGGGGTAGTCTCCCCTTCTCCCTAACAAGGTCCATCCCTATGAGAAACTATTTTCCCTATCCTTTTTTATTGACAGACAGCAAATGCCTGCTTTACTTGACCTCCAGGAAGTGTCCTACAATGCCTGTCTTGACTGCTCGTTAGTAGTATGAACTCTGCTGCCCAGCAGCCATGTAAACAACAGTCCACCACTCCCCCTTGAAAGCCCTGGAAATTTTAAATTCCATTTTCTGTTTGCTGGCTTGGTGTGAAGAGACCTCATCACATCTGCCTAGGTGACCATGACTGGCTATCAAATGCTCTACTGCTTGAACCACTGTTGAGCTGTTGGATCTGATCAGTATATGGGAGGAGACATCTGTGCAGTCCAAGCTGCACTTGACCTGGAGAAATTGGGATACTTATAGACACAGCATTTTTCAAGGAGTGTGCGATAAGGCTATGATCTAGACATGCTGCAGTACTGATCGAAGATAAAAGAGTTAAGGCATGCAAATGTTGCTCCAATGCTGCACCTATGATCTGCTACTTCTATGAGAAGCTGGATGCTATCCTCAGTGGTGACCCCGCCTCCACTGCCAAGAGCCTTATGGATATTTCAGAGGGCATGGAGGCAGTAGAAAGAGACCAAACCCAGAGGATGAAGTTATTGATGAAGAGGTGGAGCTAGACAAGGATGTAGAGCTCCCAGCAGGGTTGCCTAGTGGACAGGGCAGCTGACAGCCTGTGCAACCTCCTGGGCAAGGTGAGGGAGAGGTTCAGCACCCCCAGAAGGGATGGGACCTCAGGCAGAAGGGGTGGGGCCATGATGCCTGCCCCTTCCTCTGCCAACAGAGGTGTATTGTATCATGCTCTTGTGACAATTTAAAGGGTCTGGGCTCCAGGATTCCCAGGTCCCCATAAAACACAGGGTCCTGTGGCAAATCCTCTCTTTGCCCCTCCCCATCGACAGGCCTGCCAGAGTGGGGACAGATGGCTAGAAACAGTTCTCCACTCCTAGGCTGTGTCTAGACTACATGGCTCCATCGATGGAGCTATGTAGATTAGGGTTGTAGGCAAAGGCAAATGAAGCCGCGATGTAAATGATCGCGGCTTCATTTAAATTTACATGGCTGCCGCGCTGAGCCGACAAACAGCTGATCAGCTGTTTGTCCGCTCA